CACAAACACACACACACACACACACAAACACACACAGACAGTGTATATATATATATATATTATTACCTTATTACTTCTTGTCAGTTTTTTGTAATAATGCTATGGCAATACTGTATGTAAACACAATCATGCACAAAGTATTTTAAACAAAGTCAAAGTCATCAAAGTTATGAAAGTCAAAGAGGAATCAAATAGAATATCACTGAAATCATTTTCCATGATTCTTTCATACTTCACTGTGAATCGACTGCTGTTCATTGTAATAGTGAGGTGGGTTTAACCCTTCATTAAACTAAATCTACATAAACCCAACAATCAGACACGACCGCGCTGGATATCGCTGAGCTCAGCACTTCTGCAGCACTTCTCAGATGTGGCGTGTGAAGCCGTGTAATCGGTGTTCACTCGCGCACAAACACACACTTTCACATACGAGGTCAAAGAAAACCAGAGAGACGACCCTGCGGTCAGAGCCGGAAACCCTCAGTGTCTCCAGAGCCCTCGACACATCAACGATATGAACAATAGCTCCAGTACGGCTCATTAGAGACCCATAAACCCCTGCACTCAGGAACGCCAGCGGACCCAGACACAAGACACACTGCAGCTCAACATCACATTACTGAGGTTTCTGGACATGGCTTTTTGGACACCATAGTATTCCTGTGTTCTTTTTCAGCATTTTTAAATACTGAAAAATACTAAAACAATTTATAAATGGAAGGGTTTGCATTTGCATGTCAGGTACCAATCTATGAAATTAAAGGAAAATATATTTACTTTGTACTTGGGTCAAAGACGTTAAGATGTCCGCATCAAAAGTGATTTTATGTCCATAGACAGCACATTAAATGCGAGTAAAGTGTCTACATTTAAGGTTTCAAATACGTTTTTGAAGAGTAAAATGTCAAAATTTGGTTGAAACAATGTTACAGTGTCATTCAGTGTAACACAATATTTATGTAAAAATTCAAACAACATGCTTATTCTGACGTGTACATATTAAAATACATAAAAGAATGAGTGAGCATATTAAATTTTATCAGGGTTTAAATGAGTAAAAAATTATTACTGACAAATGGGCAAAACCTAGGATAGTAGCAAATTAAAAAAAATGTAAAATAACAACTAATTAGTATTTGGGGTGAAAGTAATTAGTTTTTGAATGTGTCATAAATAGATTTTTGTTGTAAATATGCCTGACAAGATTGTTACACTGAATGACATTTTAGTGGGTGTCTTCTGTAAATCAGGGAAAACATGTATGATATTTATTTTTTGCTCAGAAAAACAAAAACAAAAATACAATTACATTAAGCAGAAAACGTAAAAAATTATTTTTTTATTTATTTTTTTTTTTGGAAAAACAACAACAATTTAAAGCAGTATTGTTTTTATGTTTAAACCCTTTTTCGTCTTTGACCCACTTATACAAAATATACTTATACTGGCCTGATTCAGTTTACTCAGAACACGACCAGAGAAATCTCCATTAATATTTTATTATAAGTTACCTTAAATATACATAATAAATTACTAATATATATATATATATATATATATATATATATATATATATATAAAATATATATATATATATTTTTTTTTTTTTGACAATAATTAAAATAAATAAATAAAATAAAAAAAGTTACAATAATTATTTTGTGAACCTTGTGCATCCTTAAAAATATATATAAAAGATACAAAAATTAAAATAATTTGTAATAATAATAATAATAATAATAATAAAGTCCACAAAATAAAGACCAGCAAAATAAACTAACTTGCATACTTGCTAAATACTCAGAAAATAAATAAGTAAATAAATAAACATTGAGAATTTTAGAGCATTTATATTATATTATATTATATATAAAATTACACACAAACTCTTTCTCTGTAACACACTCTCTCATTCTCACACACTGACTCAAGACATTCAGTGACCTGTTGAACCCTTCTGACTGATGCGTAAGCAGTTTTTTCTCCGCCCTCTGCGCTTCTATTTAAGACCATTATTTCCAGGAGGCAGCACACATTTAGCGCAGGGCCAACAGGCCGACACAGGAATTTGGATTGCTGGTAAAACAGGGAATATTTGACGCCTACAAAGAGTAAACACAGAGGCCCTGTCTCACTGACCCCGCCCCTTTTTCACACCTCATCACTTCCTGTCTGTCCTGCTCTCACAGGAGAATCTGTTTCATGTAACTAGCAGCATGTCCTGACCAGCCGTGATTCTGCGCCAAATAACACGTCTGACACCCAACAATCACTTCGGAGCCCCTAAGGGGAACTGATGATGGATTAAAAATGAGATGAGAGGACAAATTATATTTTAATGCTTTTGCATTCGCTCACAAAACTTCCCAGAGAAACTTTGCATTCACTCGTAAAACATTTGCATTCTCTCACATAAGTATTGAGTCGCCTCAATAAGCTTTGCGTTCGCAAGCAAAAGCATTAAAACAGTTTTCCTCTCACCTCATATTATTTCCATCACAAAAGTTTTGTGAGCGAATGCAAAGTTTCTCTGCGAAACGAAAATGTTTGCTTACCGAAGAAAGGGGAACACAAAAGTTTTGCTAGCAAACACAAAGTTACTCTGGGAAATACAAAAGTATTGTGAGCAAATGTAAAATTGTGTGAACAAACGTAAAGGGGAACGCAAAAGTACTGCATGTGAATGTAAAGTTTTGCAAACAAACATAAAGGGGAATGCAGAAGTATTGCGAACGTGTGTAAACCTTTTTGGGGGAATGCAAACGTTTTGTGAGTGAACGTAAAGTTTTGCGAATAAACGTAAAGTGGTACGCAAAAACTTGCACGCAAACAAAGTTTTGCAAAATAACGTAAAGGAGAATGGCAAAGTTTTGCGAATGAACAGAATTTTTTTGAGGGAATGCAAAAGTTTTGCGAGCAAACACAAAGGTATTTGAACAAACGCAAAAGGGAACACAAAAGTATTGTGAGCAAATAAAAAGTTTTACTAACAAACATAAAGGGGAATGCAGAAGTTGTGCGAATCCACGTAAACGTTTGGGGGAATGCAAAAGTACTGTGAGCAAAAGCAAAGTTTTGTGAACAAATGTAAAGGGGTATGCAAAATTATTACGAGAGAACAAAGTTTGTGAACTAACAAAGGGGAACGCAAAGGTTTTGAGAGAACGTAAAGTTTTGCGAATTTGCGAAGTATTGTGAAAGAACACAAAGTTTAGTGAACTAATGTAAAGGGGAAGCAAAAGTTTTGCGAACGCACAGAAACTTTTTGGGGGGAACGCAAAGTTATTTTACCAAACGTAAAGGTGAACGCAAAAGCATTGTGAACAATCGTAAACTTTTCGGGGAACACAAAATTTTGTGAATAAATGTAAACTTTTTTAGGGGAACGCAAAGTTTTGCGAACTAATGTAAAGGGGAATGCAAAAGTTTTGTTAACTAACAGAGTCTTTTTAGGGGGAACACAAAAGCTTTGTGAACAATCGTAAACTTTTCGGGGAACACAAAATTTTGCGAATAAATGTAAACTTTTTTTAGGGGAACACAATGTTTTGCGAACTAATGTAAAGGGGAATGCAAAAGTTTTGCGAACAAACAAACTTTTTTAGGGGAACGCAAAGTTTTGCGAACTAATGTAAAGGGGAATGCAAAAGTTTTGTTAACTAACAGAGTCTTTTTAGGGGGAACACAAAAGCTTTGTGAACAATCGTAAACTTTTCGGGGAACACAAAATTTTGCGAATAAATGTAAACTTTTTTTAGGGGAACACAATGTTTTGCGAACTAATGTAAAGGGGAATGCAAAAGTTTTGCGAACAAACAAACTTTTTTAGGGGAACGCAAAGTTTTGCGAACTAATGTAAAGGGGAATGCAAAAGTTTTGCGAACTAACAAACTTTTTTAGGGGAACGCAAAGTTTTGCGAACTATTGTAAAGGGGAATGCAAAACTTTTGCGAATGAACAAACTTTTTTAGGGGAATGCAAAGTTTTGTGAACTAATGTAAAGGAGAAGCAAAAGTACTGTCAGCAAAAACAAAGTTTTGTGAACTAATGTAAAGGGGAATGCAAAACTTTTGCGAACGAACAAAATTTTTTAGGGGAACGCAAAGTTTTGCGAACTAATGTAAAGGGGAATGCAAAACTTGTGAACGAACAAACTTTTTTAGGGGAACGCAAAGTTTTGCGAACTTTTGTAAAGGTGAATGCAAAAGTTTTGTGAACAAACAAACATTTTAGGGGGACGCAAAGTTTTGCGAACTAATGTAAAGGGGAATGGCAAACGTTTTGCGAACAAACAAACTTTTTTAGGGGAAGGCAAAGTTTTGCGAACTAATGTAAAAGGGAATGCAAAAGTTTTCCGAACAAACAACACTTTCTTGGGGGAAACTCAAAAGTTTTACGAAGGAACGCATGAGCACTGAAATATAATTTTTCCTCCCATCCCATTTTTTTCCATCACCATGTCTGTAAAATTGCAGCCAGAAAACAAAAAGACAAACGAAATAATCCTGTCACACCACTGTTGATGGCTGCAGCTGGTTAGCATTAAACTTGCTTTCAACATTGATTAATTTAAGATTAACATGAAATTAAGTTGATTATAAACACACTTCTGCGTTAATATTTGCATGTTTTTTTTTTTTGTCTGTCTCCAGACCCTCAATACAAACAGCATCCGGCAGGAGGCGTGTAGCTGTGCGTCAGAACCGAATCAGACAGGCAGCGGTGGGCATGTGATTCCAGCACACTTCAGATCCTCAGAAAACAAACACACACACGCATCAGATATAGTGTGGCGTTCACACACCTTCCTCCGAATGAACACACTGGTCAGAGTCGGAGCGAGATGAAGGATGCTCCTGTTGCAGGTTTGGCAGGTGTTCATC